GTGTGTGTGTGTGTGTGTGTGTGTGTGTGTGTGTGTGTGTGTGTGTGTGTGTGTGTGTGTGTTTTCACAATGGCAATAACCCTCTTTTGAAAAATGGTGTTAGCAAAGACAGGTATGAAAGTTTTAAGGACAAAAGGTATGGACTAGCCGTTAGCTTGTCTTTCTTGTCAAAATTAAACTTTATTTCTCCAAACTAAGGTCATCCAGAGAGCCATCTACAACAGGTAAGATACTAATCATTTATAACCTTTCCCCAGAACACCACCTTAAAAGATTTGTACTATTCTTTAAAGTACATCTTTACTTCACTCCATGCTTTTCATAGCGTCTTGTTTAACCTCATTACTGCATTGCAGAAAAATGCTCCAGTTTCCAGCTCTACATGTTAGAGGTTTTAGAATTTTCTGAGCACGGTTATTTGTTTTTTGCTTTTGAAACGATTTTTTTGTCACAAGAACTGGAAAAACCAACTCTAGAAACAACAAAAGTCACAGTTCTGCCTCCAAACTTTAGAGGCCAGAGAGAAACATGGAGGAGTTTGGCTGTAATCAAGCATTCAGAACCTGTTCTTTTTTTATAATTCTGCTAATGATCAGAGTGTTGCAGTAAAAATGATTGTAGCTACAGAGGAACGATTAATGGTTTGTTATTTTAATTATTGTCTAAAATGTCCAACCTGTAACTAAGAAGTCATTGCATCTGCCCTTGATTTTTCACATGGCCTCCATGCACCACTTGCAGAAACAAATGCACCTCTTCAAGCCCACTTTCAGCATGAAAAAACAATGACCTTCTCCTGCATCACATTTCTGCCGCTTGTGCGTTCTCTGAATCTCTTTACGGAGGCAAGCAGGTTAAATGCTTTTTTTTCATGTTGCAGCACTTTGGGAACTTTGGGACCTACATCAGCAAACCCAGTTTTCCTCTCAGCTACTGGACTTGTGTGTGAGAGGAAGGGAAGGTGGTGAGGTGTGAAAACAACATTTACCTAATGATGGATTTAAAAGAGGCCCTGATGGCTGTGAGGAATAATGTAAAGACGTGCATGATTTAAACACCTTACACCTGCTGCTGGAGATAATTTACCCCCTGCCACAGTCACTATATTGAACTCTACTGCAGAAAATAAAAGTTCCTTCTGGTAACAATAATGATCTTGGGCTAAAAAGCCCACAATAAGTAACTCACAGTGAGAACATATGGCTACATTACACAGCATCTAACGCATGAATGCTTTGATGGTGTTTAGGGCCGAGTCTTGGGGGGTAAAAGGAATCTCCTGAGTGTTTTTCTCACTGCTGCACTGGAGCACGACAAAGACTGCACCATTTTCCAACCCACATTGATGCAGCTGTTTTATACAAAGCAATGGGTATTAAAAAAAAACGACACGCAACACTGTATTCAACAACTCAAATCCTTTAAAAAAGATGTACTGTATATAATTTTATCTTAAGCACCTGAACCTGAAATTTGGTAACTTTTTTCATCATTATCTAATTCTGATTGCAAGATAGTGCACTTGCTCATGAAACATTTCTGTGTTTTTAATTTATATCAGGGACTGGCAACTGACTTTCATCTGGCCCAGCAATGAAGAAAAAAATGATTACAATTTTTTATTTTACTTAAAAAACACTCAAAGCAGCTCATGGAATCTAAGTGCTGCTTTGAGAAATCGCTTCTTTATTTGCATGTAGAATAATATCTGTAGCAATGGATTTGTGCAAAAAGGAACAAAATTAATCCAGCTGTTAAATCCTGTTAAGCCTGTTTTTGTTTTACCATTTCTTTGCCCTGATATGCTCTTGTACACTTATCATCTTCACATTTTATTCCCCTTTTTTCTGACATGCCCCACTTCTCACTCGTTACATTAATTTCTACAACTCTTCCCAATCGCTCAGCATCAGCATCATTGATCTGTTTGTAGAGACAGTAACTGCTGCAGAGGAGTCATTCTTTATGTGCCTGTGCCTGTTTCTTTCAGGGTGGAGTAGATTAAAACTGACGCCATCTATCAGGTAGGATGTCTAGAAAAAAAACAATATATTGTTCCGGATCGGGCTAAGCTACTGAAAGTGAAATAGACTAAAATTGAAAAATAGGTGAAGTTCTAAAATAGAGCAGGTTGGTGGGATGTGGTAAACTGAGCTTTTATTTAAGTTGCTCTTAAATGCTGCTTCATATGAACAGTCAAGCATGGAGGATGAAATATAGAGAAAAAAGGCACAAGTTTTTGTCCAGGCTAGGCTAACAACTAGCCAAAAGAGAGCCTGTTTTATATTGGTTGTCACCATTTGTTTAGTTTGTTGCTGTTTTCTCTACCGATATCATGTGAGAGTAACCAGCTGGAGAACGGAGTACAACTTTCAAAGTTTCTCACAAGAGCAACAAAGGTGCACAGTCCTGTTGCTCAAATTTCAAACACTCCAACCTGTCTCAAATTGCTAAAGTTGTATTTCGATGTCTGCCCAGGAGCCCTCCTCTGACAGAAAACATCTGAAGTGAATACCCTGGTCTGAAAAAAACACACTGATGTAAAATAATAATAATGTTTATTGAAAAACTGGTCTGCCTGTTCTTTGCGGGGCAGCTGCCCAGGTGGGTACAAAATCAGACAAGAACACCAGTTTTGTAAGCGAACACTAAGCTAACACTAAGAATTCAGTGAGACTACAATGGAAAACCTTCTTGTCTTCTTGAATGGGTGTTCTTAAATGTAAATTCATTGTGCTCRGTTCAATGACAATAAAGGCATCGTCAATCAATCAAAATTAACCTATTTTCTCACAATTTTACTGCAATTTTGAGTTACTAATTATTCACCAAAAGTCACAGCTCAGTAAAACACCGCATTGCTGAGCATTATACGTATTAAATCATTGTTGCTGGAGGTACACAAACTGTTGGACAGACTGTGCTGTTATATCCACAACCACCAGTCAAGGCTGGTGAGAAAATTCCAACTTTCCAAGTCTGAGCTGAGGATCATTCTAGTGTATTTTTCCAACTCGAAACATGTATATTTCAATTTACAGCTTCACGTGGACCACATCATTATTTTATAGATACATATCATTAGGAGTTAAGACAATAATGAAAGGTTTTGGCATTTTCTTAAGCTTACCTTGGCTATGGTCTGTGAGTTGGCGAGACTCTCTGAGAGGCGAGGGTAGGTGTAGGAGCTGTATGGGTGGGCCTGTGGAGGGTTCTTGAAAGCCCCACTGGCTGCATAGGGAATGTTTTGCTCCTGCAGCCCAGATCCTGACCTAGACCTCTGCCTGATCGCTGGGGTAGGACTGGTCTGAGTCACATAAGAGCTCTTGGGTCTCTTGTCGTAGTCATCCCGCAGGCCGCCGTAACTCCACTCGCTGTCCGGGTAATTAATCTGCTCGCTGTGAAGAGAGGCACGAGATGGCGTGCCAACCGAAGTGTCCCGGTAGTCCTGGCTGGATGAGCCTCCCACTGATGCGCGGTAGTAGCCACTAGAGCCCACGCCACTCCCCACTGTGGAGGCCACCTCGTCAGCCGAGCGTCCTTTGCTCTCCAAGTAGGCGTGGTAGTCCGGTGGAAGCTTCCCATAGTCTGATTTTTGAGGCATGGCATCTGGGTAAAAGTGGCTTCGTATMGGATGTGAGTGGCCGTTCTGCTTGGTGAACCGGTAATGCCTCCCAACAGCCCAGTCTCCGTCTATGGAGACACTGGGCTTGCCGGGGTCCAGCGAAAAGTCCCTGCTGGCGGTGTCCAGGTCACACGAGTAGCGGGAGTAGTAGTGGTTGAAACCATTCTCCTCRGGAGCGGCGAGATGCCCACTACCCAAGGGTTTGGAACTGGTTCCAGCCTGTTGGAGGCCAGGTGGGCTCTCTTTACGCAGGGAGTTGGAGCGCGTAACTGAAATGTTGTCAAACTCCTCCAGCAGACCATTGATGGACGCATCTTTGGGTGGTCGGTTTCCTCGAACAATAGTCTAAAACAACAAAAAAATGCAAAGACATTTAGACTTTACACATAGGTCACCTCATTCTCAAGCGTTTAAAGGTATCCTGATTAGCTGTAACATTAGACTTTATTTAATAAACATATATTTTAACTGTAAAATAAAGACTGTAAAAATACTGTAGGCTGTTTAGTTTTGTGAATTTTTAAAAAATATATTTTAACACGAATGGAGCCAATTTATTTACACACAAAGAATTCTGGGTACATGATGACGTGGATAGGTCCTCAGTGTGAGCGAGCTATATCCACCCTGAAGGATAATCTTGGACAATATCTGACGATTGACTCTTAAATGAAACCAGAGAGAGATGACAAAGACGAGAAGGTAGAAACTGAAAATATGGATGGAGGACAACAGAGCTGCTTCATGGAAGAAGAACCTCAGCTTAGCCTGTTAGCCTCTGCGCTAGCTCGGACATTATATTGCCTTATATGTATTAGTTCGGTGCTAGCGCGACAAACAAGCTAAACTGAGGTCCTCCATCCATATTTTCAGTTACAGGCTGAGTCATTTTTGCGTTCCCCTCTCTGTCATGTGGATGGAGGACCTCAGTGACGAGAGGAGAATGTGTAGCGCTGAGCTAATACATGTATATGGTGATAGCATTGGGGCTAATGCTAAAGCTAACAGGCTAAGCTGAGGTTTTTATTACATGAAGCAGCTCTGTTGTCCTCATCTATATTTTCAGTTACAGGCTGAGTCATTTCTACCTTCTCCTCTCTGTCAACGCTCTCTGGTTTCATTTAAAAGAGTCAATCATCAGATATTGTCCAAGATTAACCTTCAGGGTGGATATAGCTCGCTAGCAGCCTCGCACCGAGGACCTATCCACGTCATTATTTACCAAAATGCTGTGTGTGTGTGTGTAAATAAAATGGCCCCGTCCGTGTYATATATTTTTAAACTTTTAGATTAAAAATTATAAAAACTAAACATCCTACAGTATTTTTACAGTCTTTATTTTACAGTTAAAATATATGTTTATCAAATAAAGTCTAATGTTACAGCTAATCAGGGATCCCTTTAAGAAAAACAAACAAATTTAGTTAAATAATTCCTGACTGAAAATTGATTGAGATTTGTTTAAGTCCCAACTCAATCAGCATTAGTTACCTGCAAACATTTCCAGGCAGGAATTTTGTTTTAAGCTGGGGGCTTTGCAACAAGTATGAAATTAATCATCACTTGAGGAAAGGAATGCAGGCATTTATCATACAACAGAACAGCAGGCATCAGTTTACACAACTACAAAAGCATGCTGGGAAGTGCACGAAGATAAAGGGTGAAATACCTCATAATGCTAAGAGAAAACTAGTTGGTCCCTGAATCATTTCCCTTGCAACAAATAAGCCTAATTTTCKGTGGGCTGATTAGGCTACATTAATAGTCGCAGGGTTTGGTTTCATTCGTGAGTCGAATGATCGCAGCAATGTGCACTTACAAAGAAAGGGGCGAGAGAGAGAAAACGAACAGTCACGCTCACATCTGCTTCAAAGAAAGGCAGCTCACACACGAGCAGCCCCGCTGATCCCCTCCTACCTTGTTAAGCTCTTTACAAAACTGTGTCGTGAGTCATGTGGAGACTGGTGCTACAGTATTACACCTCTGACTGTGTGCACGTACACTGTTTGTGCAGCGTGGACTCCAAATTTAGAGCGTAATGGTAAGAGCCGGTCATGTATAGCTTTTATCTGCTGTCGCTGTGCTGCTTGAAGACTAATGAGGACACTGCTTTTGAACAGAGAAAATACCTGAAGGTAAAACTGACAAGAGGCTGAGCTGTGGGAATCCTTTGGATTTCACACTCTTAGATAATCTGTGTGAGAGCTTTTAAAACTGATCAAATAAATCTGAATCTGTGTTTTTTCCCTGCATTACTGCATGTACAACGTGATCCTCATGTTTCAGGTTCTCTTGGCTTTTACCCAGATTAACATCGCTCATATACTTTATGAGTATGCATTTACTAGGTATTTTGTGCATTTGAGGATGTATAAATCCAGGTTTTATCTCAACATATACCCAGCTTTCAAGAATTTTACTGTTGTGGCAAAAAAAAGTATATTTTTCTAAGAAGAGATTAAGTGAGACTGAAAAACCCAAGTTAAATATTTTGCATACTGAGATGAGATGTTCCCACCATCAGAGTTTGACAAGAAGGCCTAAAGAAAGTATGAGGGGGACACCTCACCAGGGGTCAGATTTATAAAATATTGCGTGGAAGCCATATTAAAAGTGAACGTACGGCCAAAAGGCAGAAATGGCGTATGCAAAAAAATAAAATATAAAAAAARCTGATTTATAAAACGGTGCGTACGCATGTTTCTGCGCATCTTTCCTTTTTAGATGACAGCCGCACGTCAGAGTTTGTGCACGAGGTCCCGCCTCAGGTTCTACCCTRTACATGCCCACATTCAACCATAAATAGTCAATGCAAAGTACCTCATGAATGTTAAGATGTATTTAAATCAGTCAGATGATCAATGCCAACAAAAGCGATTGGCTCAGACGCGCTCCGTCGTGCGTCTGGAGGATGACAGGTGCTGACAGCTGCTCACGTGAACAGAATTGACACAGATTTTCCCTAATTTTGCAGGTTTACAGACGCTTAATCGAATGATTTTTATCAAAAGCTCAGCTTCAAATTAATTTTCTCTCAGAGCCTGCAGGACGTTAAAAACAATAAAAATAAAAGTAAATGTCAGATAAAATAAGAAATAAGTCCACCACTCTTCTCCCCATCCTCTCCCCCTCCTGCCTGCTCTGTTATGTGCGGCAGACACCCCCACGCACACACACACATGCACGCACCCCCCTTTCCTGCGTGACAAACACAGACTTAAAACGTGAAGTTTTATAACATCCACACTGGCGAGGTGGGTGCATCCAAAGCGTGACTTTTGCTGTTGTACTGTTGAAATGTCTCTTGTTGGGGAGGGGTCTGTGGGTCAGAGTCYTCTGAGGAGGAAGGAGATGAATGGAGTTGCATGCGGGAACTTTTATTTAAGATTTAAGTTTTTTATTTCAAAAGTCCTCATGGCTCAGCAGCAGAAGCATAAATATTACTGTTAAGAAAGCTAAATAAATCAATAATCTAAGTTTGAATATGAGGAGAAATTAAATATCTGACAGTGATCATGTCACAGTGTGGCTATGATTCCTCACTTCACCATCTGTGTCGCAGTTTCCTGTCTCCAAAATGAGCGTACACATGGGTCAGAGCTGGCTGAGGCACCGCACATTTTCACGTCAAGTTTGGATTTTATAAATCACAACCTTGGCGTGAAAAGTGGCGTACGTAAGTTTCTGGGCTCATATTGTGCGTACGCCAGTTTTATAAATCCGATCCCAGATCTTAGCTCCCATGTCCACAACACAAGACATGTCTTACTTTCATTAAAAAAAATTAAAATAAGCTCCAGAGTTATTGCAAGTCTACAACGAACAGGAAGCAGCACTCAGATGTGGGTCAATCCAACAAGCCAATTCGATTTAGCTGAAATTAAAAGAAACCACATTAGCTTTCTGCTTCACAGTAACCAGCAAATTCAGGAAGATGGAAATATTACTGCACGCCTATTTGAAAAACGCAGCCAAATTTTTCTCTTACACTATAGCTGATCAATTTAAAGTTATGAACAGTAAGACCCACCACGATCTTTGGCCTTCTGCACAGCTTTCAGTCATTATGACTGTCAGTCATTTCCATCACAGCAGGTGTTCTGTTGAACACGGCTCTCAGACCAACTGCTAAATCAGCAGTTTTGGCCTTTTTGACAGACTGTCACATGACTGTCATTCACTGGTTTGTCACATGTGCTGAGGCAGAGGCTCAGAAACCCTGAGGTAATCATCTGGCATCGCTGTCACTGAAAACACTCAGACAGAATTATTACTAAAGACTCACAGTTAGCTGAACAATGCTGGACCTGAGATGAGAAATAGTTCTCACACAACATATTCAAAACATCTTAATATTTGTAATTAGGAAAAAAAAAGTCAACAGATGGCATTTGATTTATGCTCAACACATATTTTATTGTAAAACAGAGAACCTGCATCTATGGTTCTTTTTATGTTGTTTTCACACATTTTCTTCTTTGATTTCACTTTAACACTCCAGTTGTTCTCCTCTGTTTGAAAGTTAAAGGCGACTTGGAGCCGTGAACTGAAACCCAAGGTGAAAAAGCCAATAAAAGCAGTCAGTAAAATCCAGCTGAAAGGCTGCGGCTGCAGGACAGATGATCTTTTAAACAGGTCACTGAACAGAAATCTGTAGTGCCGAGAACAAAATGCTAAAACACATAAACAGAAGGTTCGGACTCATATTAGTAAAGAAAAATAAATGCTTTTCACGATGATCCACTTCAAAAGTAAAATAAAATAAAAGTAATAAAAGGGCTTCTCATTCTTGAGAATCAATTAAAGAGTGTGACTGGGAGCAGAGCAATAAATTTGTTAATGGTGTTCTGCGCTTCCAGCCCAAACGTGGACCCTCACATCGAGCTGTGCGATTCAGAACTAATTCAATTGGCAAACAAGAGCAGGGAGTACCAGATATCCCGCAAAACATAATTATCTCCATTTGCTTCATAATTAAAAGGACCGTGTCAAAAAGCGTGACATGTTCGGTGGCTGGAGAGAGCCAGGACGAACGAGACGGRGATTGAAACCGAGGGGTGCAAAAAAAGGCGAGAGAGAGACAAGGTTAATTGTGTGCCAAATCACTGTCAAACGGCCGGCAACAAGCCTGGAAATCTTCCCATTAATTTGAATTAGGGGGCTGATATTGGCTTCCGTACCCCTACTATACCTCCCCCCTTTCCTCACTCGTTTTTTTACAGCTCGCTGAGCCTTGTGCACGGGTCGGGTTCGGCGGCGGCGGTGACAGCGGCCATATTTCACCAGCCCGTGCCGCTGGCCTGTCCTTCAGTGATAAGCTTTAATAGATCTACTCTCTCAAGTCA